ACTGCGGTCAAAGGACCTTGATAAATAGAGAGGTTGCTGCACTGAGCTGCTAAGCAGAGAGAACCAGGTTAGTTTAATCACTATGAAAGGGACTCTGCCAAGTTAAGAAACATAAATTTTAATTATATGCACACATGCATATTTGAATTATAATATATGCACAATATTTAGCTGTGACACCAATAATACCGTGGTCTATTAAAGCAGGAAGAATTCTTAAATAACATTTTATTTTTCATTTATGTTTTTTGGTGATTTGACACTTCCATTTTGTATGGTTCTGAGTATTCCCTGTGTCTCTTACGCTAACTAGGTGCTATTGCATTTGCAACACTAATCAAAAGGAAATTTATCTACAAGCCTTCTTAAAATTATTATATAAAAGAGTAAGCTTTTAGTTATAGTGCTTTTACTAGTAGTTATTACTTGTAATAAAGATTATGTTCTCTGAAATTGCAATGTTTAAAGAAGAGCTTGTGATACAAACTAGGAGTTGCAATAGAAAGCATTTAGAACAATTAGTGAGTAGCAAATGTTATTACCTATATTTAAAAGGGATTTGGATGTGAGTCAAGGTTTTAAAGACCCATAAATTCTACATGAAGTTTGAGAAATTGATTGAAAAGGTAATTAGGTATAAGCAGTAATGCACATGGGAAATGATGATATAGGAGGTTCTAACTGACTACTTTTTTTATTTCCTACTGAGGAAAAGCATATTTCACTACTTTCTTAAAATTCTCTACATGATGTATAAAGGACTAATAGATAAGGTGGTTGACAATTTGCTTAGACTTTCTGAAGACCTCTGGTATGTAATAGACCTCCAAAGAGAAACAAAGCATTGTCTTTGATCAAAACTTTTAGAATAAAAGATGAAACAAAGAAAAAAATGAGACAAAGAGCTTTCATTATGGAAAAAAGCTAACAGCTGGTGTGTCAGGGCTTGGTGTTTCGTCCAGCGTGGTGTAATACAGTAATGAAGAAGCTGGAGAGAGGGAGTACCTTGTAAATTACAAAGATTTGCACATAGTACAAAGTGATTTAGAGCCATCGAGGTAAGGGAGGTCTGTGCAAGTCTCCTTGCATAGATTGGAATGTGCTTGGTGAACAGGATGGCCATTGTCACCTGTGTGTTGAAAGTATTACTTATAGAAAGTTCTCGTTCCTGTAACAATGTCCCTAATTCTGCTTAGTATGCAGCTTGGGCACTACAGGATGCTGCCTGAGGGGTAATATAAACAATATTGTAATGCATTTGTTTAAATGGGGGGATGTGGCTTCATCTGAAAATACCAGGTGCAGTATTGGTCCATCTTGGGAAGATTATTGAAGAATAAGAGGGAGTTCAGAGAGATCTGACAGGACAAAGCCATATGGAAAACTTCCCACAGCAGAGCGATAGAAAAGATTGTGACTGTTTGTCTTCAAAAGGAGAGGAATAAAAAGAAATGACAAAAAACTTTGGTCAGCAATGTCTGTTTTCCCTGTCTCATAGGAAAAACAAGGGACAAGCAATAAAGTGAACCACTCCTTCCTTCAAACCATAGTTTAACTGTTGAACTCAGGTGGGAAAAAATCGAGGGCAAAAGCGTATCAAAATTCAGAAAAGGCAGGCTAGTCTGTGCATTTCCAGAAGAGGCAGATTTGGGATAAGTGGAAGCTATACTGCATCTATCCCTCAGGACTGGCCTGTTAGAGATCAGGATGACATCTAGTAGTAGGGTCGATTATTTTCCTTGCATTTCTCTCCTGACACTCATACCTTTTTCTGCAGCATCTGTGGCGACGGCATAGTATAGCACAACAAATATCAAAGCAAACAGAGGCAAGGTTGGGGTTACAGCTTAATTTCTGAAGCCTGAAAGACTTTCTTTGGCCTTGTTTGAAGCTTCTGGCATTGGCTGGTGCCTTCATAAGCAGAATAGTGGGTGAAACGGACACCGCTTTGCTTCTGTGCAGCAGTTCCCGTGGTTTGGGTGAAGCCTTGATCTTTCCCATGAAGACTACATTTCAGGCATTGAGTTGGCTTCTCAGTTTTCTGTAGCCTACAGGCATAAGAGAGAAACATACTTTTCTAGCTTTTGTGGGAAAATCTTGGAGAGTTAAATAGGAAAGAGTAAATTAGGGATTTAGTGAAATGAATTGAATGATCCCTAGTAGTGTTTAACTATTTCTTTAGGTTAACTGAACCATTGTTTAGATACTTGGAGACTTTTATCTCTCGGGATTCAAAAAGTGGTATGGAAACATAATTTCCTGTCTTCATTACTGTATCCTTTACAGACTAGCCATCTTCAGGAAGGACTGAGTTCATTAAAAGATTAAATTCCTTACTAAGAAGTTGTCTTTGGACCTTTGTAGGTTTTTGTACTGTAAACTTTACATTCCAGATAAGAGAGCATCTGCCATTTCCCACTTTCTAGAGCTACTTAGGAATGAAGACGGACTCCTAGAAGTTGGAGAAGAAAATGAAGGAGTTGAGTAGCAGTAAGCTTAGCAAGCAGATGGGAGGCAGCTGCCCTGAGTGTCTTTTGCTGGATTTCCTGCTTGCTAAGTTTACTTCTTGGTGACTTAATCTCCCGATCAGTAAGCTGGGAATAAAAGTATTACCTCACACCGCCTTGTCAGTGGGATGTTAAATTTAATAATTAAAATATGCTCTGAGAGTTTTGGATGAAAAGTCTCCTGGGGTGCTGCGGGTGGGAAGTAGCAGCACCAGACAAACCAAACGTGCCTATTAAAGACAGCTGCCGGTTTCTGACCTTAAAGCCTACCTTTCCCTCTGAGTTAATGTTCAATATCTCTGGAACAAACAGGAAGTAGTTTTACTTTCATATATATGTTTTACTCATCCCTCACCCCTTCCTTGCTCGTTCCCTTTTCCTAATGTATTCCTTTGCTGCGTGTATTGGTATCCAGAGACAGGCGTAGCCTGTCACAGTGAAGACATGTTTGTTTCCGATGCCCTTGAGCTTGCTTGAAGCTTCTTCTCCTGCTGAATGTATGATGACCCCTTGGGTTTTGCAGTCCCACAAGGTTCTAAATACAAAGCAAATGCCCTTTTGCACCTAAGCACAGGACTTTGAAACCAAGCCAAGCCCACAGCCAGAGATGATTACGGAGGTTCCTTAGCGACTTCAGATTCAAGTGTTGGGATTTGCACATAAATCAAGTCTAAAATCCCTTCTTTCTATTGAAATGTCTGGATTTAGCATCCAGAGGGAGGTACTAGGAGTTCAAACAGGGAAATTCAATCTGTATGATTCTCTGTTGACTTCTCTGTCTTTTTTATAGCTCAAGTAAGGGAGAAGTTGGGGAAGGTGGCATAATGGGGTGTGTGTGCTGAGCTTAATGCAGAAAACAGAGGCCTGGTTGAATAGACCTCCTTGTGATGAGAAGGGGGATCAATTCACTGTTGACCCCATCCTATTGTGTGGGTTGTCCTGGGAGTTTCCTTTGAAAATCCCAGTGGTTTGGGTTTTCTGCATGGTTTATACTCAGCCTTTCCCTCCATGAATAGAATAGCTTTTGCTGGAATTTTTGCTGGTTTTTCTGTGGTTATTGGCTGAGCAATGCTCTCTCACTTCAGAAGACTTGAGCAAGCATGTTGTGGAAGCGCTGATCAGGGACCCTGAACCATTTGCTGGCTTAGAGTTTTTCATATATAGAACAAACATATTGCTGGGACGCAATTGCCCCCGAGAAACAGATTATACTTTACTGTCCCAGGTGGAAGTGTTCATTCATTATTTGGATTGCAGGAGTGATCTGGGGCTTTATAAACACATGAATTTCTGCTGTGCAGAGTTTACAGCTCATGGTGATAGAAAGGCAGGGAGCTTCAGGCAAATTGGGGAACACAACATAGTCCTAAAAGATAAGAAGTGGACAGAACTATGAAATAAGGACAGCAGATGCTGATTTGTGAGCATCAGTCCTGTACCTTATTACTTTATAAAGATGTTGGTCTAGAGGAAGGAATCAGTTGTAGAAGGAAGGAGTACTTGAGAAATCCACACCCAGCATTGTCAGGTAAAAGAGATGTTCAGGATGTCGCTCTGCTATAGGGTTGCTCTGAATGAACTCCTGTACAAGTGGGGTAAAGGCCAGGATCTACAAGGAGAATTGAATTCTCCCCCACATTTATTTTAACATCTTGGTAAAATTTACATGCAGTATTTGCCTGCCTGCTGCACAGCCTCATTTGGAAAGGGAATAAATCTTTGTTCCTTCAATTGTATGGCAAGTTGCATCAAGCTTCCTCATAAACCCACTCTGTCTCTTGGAGTCCTGTGCCCCAGGCCTGCCCCAGGCCAGCCTTCAGCTCTTCCAGCAGTGGCTGGGGGTCATCCTGCTTTGTGGGCTGGATTCTGCACTCATAGCCATGTTGGCTGGTGCTTCTTCATCAATGTAGGCCCATTTACAACAAACTGAAGATTTTATCTAGTCAATATTAAATGAAAATTCAAGACACATCCCTTTTTTTTTTCAGTTTAGGTTCTCAGCATTGCCCCCCCCCAAGCTTATGGCTTCCCCACGTGTGAAACAAGCCCTGGTGCAGGAGAATGCTGCTTGAAGCTGTGCTGTATAAACTGTGCCAGATGCTAAATTGCATTAAACTACTTCTCTGCTTCAGGAGATCAGTTCTTCATATTTGTTATTTCAGTATCTTAGAAAGCCCTGGTTTTGTTCTTTATTTGAAGCATATGAAGCTTACATAAAGGAAAATTATTTTTTCCCCATTTATTTCCTCCTGATATAATATATCCAGCCTTTTTTTCCTGTAAGCAAACACAGCAACTGAAAAGATTTCAGGTTTTCAGTAAGATAGAAATGAAACCTATACGGGGATCCTTAGCAGTTAGAAGAAGAACTTGAAGAACTCTCCTTCAAGACAGAAATAAGCTTGAAAGTCTGTCAGTCTTCTGCTTGTCATCTCTGTCAGGCTTGTTAGCTGTCTGGGGGGACACATGTAACCAGTGTGTTTTGTTTTTCAGAAGTTGATCTGCCTCTGAAAAAAGATGGGTTTACATCTGAAAGTACAACTCTGGAAGCCTTGCTGCGTGGAGAGGGAATAGAGAAAAAAGCAGACACTAAAGAGGAAGACACTATACAAGAAATCCAGGTAAAGGAGAGCCCCGTGCCCTGACAGCAGGGCTGGATTTTACAGTTTATCTTTAAGCCTAGTGGATTCTGTCCTGTGGCAGAACAGTGCATCTGTTGATAGCTGTGTCATTCTACTGTCAAAATGTTATCAAACCATTGTGCTACACTGTGATGCTCAAAATGAACTTGGGATCACCCACACTTCTCCTGTCACAAGAATCTCAGTCATTTGGCTGTGTTCAGCACAGCTCCTGTGTTGGAATTTGTTTTGTAGCACTATGAGGCGATTACATATAAAACTGACAAGCAGAGATGGGTCCCGACGATAAACTGATTTTTAGTGCCTCATACTTAAAGTGAATTTGGACGTGGATTTGAAGTTGGATTCACAGCTGCTGACGGTAGACAAATAAGCGTCATTGCCTTGCCTGTTTTTTCTTATACTGAGAAGCATTCAGGAATTATACAAGCAAAATAAAGAAATAAAAATGTTCTAATGTTTATTACCTCAGTTATTATTAGTGATGCAGGTATGAGAAATACTGCCTTTTCACATACACTATGGTTTGAAAGTTATTTGTCACGGTTCCATTTCATCCTTTAATAATTAAAAGTAGAAACACATTTGTAGGCCTGTCATAGAAAGAGTTCAGCTAATATAAAGGGTTCTTATATAAGGACATGTAACTTTATAAAGAATCTTAAATCACTAGGAAAGCAGACCTCTCCTAGGGGAGCAGCAGTACATCTCTGATGATGCTAAAAACCCAGTGTGCTATGAGTCCATTAGTGATTTTTAGCAGAAGCCACTGGCGATGTGTAAAACTTGGTAATCCTGGCTGAGATACAAGATATTGCATCTATACGTAAAACTAGGAAAAATTTGAATGGGCAGCCTCATGCCAAATGCAACAAGAGCGTGGGCATCAAATCTATACCCCTGGAGCTCAGTCCTACTGGTCTATTTACTAGAAATTTCCTACACATAAGGGCAGCAAAACACTCGCATTCCCAGTTATACAGGTAAAGGAGCACCACCAAAGATGAAGTGTCCCTTGCTCATGGAGTGGGGGAAAGCTCAGCATGAGGCCCCTCTATATTCCCTTCTTCAGTAGCATATCTGGGTCTATTAAGCTGAGAGCCCTAAAGCTTTGTTTATACCTGCTTCCAAGGTCCCAAGAAGTCATGGTGCAGCATCCTTACGAGATCAGCAAGTGCCTTTGGATGTTGCTGTGTGATCTGAGCTCCCAAATCATCCCTAACAGCAGTCCAAGGAAAGGGACCTTCAGAGACGGTGGAACTGACACCAGCCTGGGCATTGCAGAGCAGGAAGGGGGGACAAAAACATACAAAAATTTTTCAGCTAAAGTGCTATAGCTGTAACCTGTCATCCGGATGCAAGTTTCGTCACAAAAGATGCAAAAGGCATGCCTTGCTGCTGTTTCTGATGCAAGCACAGCTTATCTGGATCCAGTCTATACAAAACCGATTGCCGAAGCCTTTACTAGCAGCCAGCTTTCAGTGTGTGCTTTAACACACTGCCTGCCTGGCAGCCAGGCTGTGCCAGATCAAAACCACCATCAGTGCCTTTCATCCATGTGATAAATAAGAGAATGCAAATTTCCCTTTTGTCCCTTCGTGTGCTCTTCTGTGCCGTAACTTGAAAGGGCCCGGCTTCAGTGGCGGGGAGAGCGAGCAGGTGGGATAGACATAGTTGTAATTCCCACCCCAGTACCAGCCACTTACCACCATCTCAAACTCACAGTGTCTGTCAGGAGAAGGCTTGGTGCGTAGCTGCACTGAGGTGTAGTGGGCAGCGAAACTGTTTTAGAATGACAGAGTAGGAAAAGTTACTTTTCTAAAACGGGTAGGGATTGCCCCTGCTAAATAGATGCAGTCATTGGGTCCTGCCGTACAGCTGGTATTTAACAGGGTTGAGGGTTTTGCTCTACATTAAATTGGTGTTGAATGTGTGTCTCCATTGTTCACTGGAGGAAGCTTAGAAGAGCCTTTTGACGATGCATCAGAAAGGTTATGCCCCTTCTATCAAGAATTAAAGTCATTACCCTGGCAGTGTCACCAAATTGACATTTGGTTACTTATTATCTCTTTCTTAAATTGATGCTGCAATTTTACATGAAGAAAGTGATTTGTAATATTTCTCTTAACTGCCTCTGTGTAGTATTATTGTTGTAAACTAGCTCCTTCCCCTCCCACATATAGTATAGTGGCAGCCTTTTCTCTTTTTGGAGATGATTTAAGATACAAAGCACTGTGAAAATATAAACTCATATCGCTAAGGTTACATATTTTCTTACGTAGCACTAGTCTCATGCACAACGTTTTCCCAGTGCTCCAGTTTTCTAAGATGAAGTCAGTGTATGCAAATTGCATGAATTTTGAAGAAATATTTTATGTATGTGGAATTGGAATTTGCTTAACTTCTCCACCCTCTAGTATTTAGTACTCTGGTATTATTATATTTCATGATGGTCTGACCTCATTAATAGCCTCCTGAGATTTAAAAATAAAAAGAAGATGGAGACTTCATCCTCTATCATGTTCTAAAAGTTGTTTGGACTTTTTAAAAGGGATACTGTCCAACGTTAGCCTTAAAAATTAAGAATAAATTTGCATGGTTGGTCTTCCAAATGCAGGATTCTTTTAAAGTGAAATTTCTGCTGTGTTCTTTCCCACAAATTCAAAATTCAGTGCTTGAGGTATGTAGGAAGGAGAGCAACTATGATTTGCTCCTGTTCTCCCTCTGCTGGCTCTCAAATACCTGTTACATAGAAATTATAGGGAAGGCACAAATAAAGTAAAAGACTGGAAAACCTCCCCATCATTTCAAAGTCACTGATTTGAATCTGCATCATGGCTGCATGTCATAATTTAAATGAATGGTGACATGGCAAAGATAAGTCAGCGATTCCAGATAAGTCCCTTACAAAATGACACCACACCATGAGTAGCAGGAGTGGCTGGGTCCATTTCTGTATTCCTAGCAGACATGCCAAGGGCTGAGGAAATTTCAGTGGGACTTCTTTCCACAATAGTGTTGGGATGGCTTGTCTTGCCTTTGTCCATGCTTTGTCCAACTTTGTGCATGTTTTCAGAGCTGCCAGCCCGTGTTTGATTCCATAGAGGTTGCATTGCAAAAGATCAAGATAAAAGGATTGAAATTTCCCGGCCTGAACCTCTCACTATTATATGAGATGATGAATTATTGTTCCTATTAAATAATAAATTGAAGGAACTATTGCTGTTGTTCCTATTAACTGCAATGAGACCTGTACTTCCTCAGCATTCTCATGCAGCAAGACCCCTGCTTCCAGATCACAAAGTTGTACCTGTGGTGTGAGCCCTTAAAGATGTTACTGTCTCGATCCACTCAATGTGCTGGAATATATGGGGGAATTTTCTCCATTTCTGCTAAACAAAGAAAATTCTGTGCTGCCAAAGGGAAAAACACTGATTTCTGTCTTCTTAAAGTGCGTTCTCAACATTAGAGGAAAACAAAAAAATTTAAGGTGCAAGAAGCCAAAATAAAAAAAATCATGCAAATGATTTCCCAGACAGGGCCTACAGTTATGCACACTAATACTTGTGTTGTCGTGGGATATCGGTGTTCAGGGATGCCACTGTTATTTCTTAGGAACCTTTTTTTTGTAGTTGACTTATATCAGTGGTATATTTCTTAATAAGAACTCTGTGGAGAACTGAGGGTGGAAGGGAAAGCAAATTTTGCTTCAGCAGAAAGAAGTAGGGGTTCTGGGATCTGATCTGGCATTATATCATTAATCAACCATAATTTAATAACCTGCAGTCTCTGTGGTAAAGAGCAAAGTTGGTTGTATGTGTCATCTTTTTTTCTTCTAACCATTCCTGTTTATTGTTCAACCACAGAGGGTTTTAGAAAATGATGAAAATGCAGATGAAGTGAATGAGGAAGAGGACTTGGAAGAAGATATTCCAAAGCGAAAGAACAGGCCTAGAGGACGGGTAGGTGGAGACTTTATTGGAATGGAAAGGAAGGAAGCAAACCTCTGCTTTCTAGTGTATATTTGTCACGTGTTGTATATGCAAATTGTGTATCTATGGATAGATCATAGTGATCACTGTAGGTAATTTTCAGTCATACAGTAGAATATTTTAAAATATGTTTTCAGCTTGTTTTTGTGAATTACCAAGGAAAAAGACTCCTAAGAGTAAAAATTTGGGGTAAACTTATTATAGTGTTATATTTACAATTATAATGTAAACTGTGATAATTATGATGACATCCTGCTATTACAAAGCTCTTACTTTAATAATTACAGAAAAGCAATGAATTCAGTCATGACAGCCAAAAAAAAAAATATTAATAGAAGTAACTTGAACTGTGTTAATACATTTTGCAGCTTTCTCCAAGGTAGCACTTTGTGGCTGACATTGGCCCTCTTGAGCCCATGGCAAATCTTCCATTTGCTTAAAATGGGCAATATTTTATCCGTAGGAGAGTCTGTGTCCCTTCTCTTACCTAAGATGTCTTTTCACGATTTCAGCAGGGCACCAGTTAAATAATGAGGCCAACATTTTAAAACTTGGAATCAACATTTTCAATTGTGGCCCCTTAAGCTAGGCATCTAAATAATCGTGAACACAATTCTCAGAAGTTTTGAGCATTTTCTTCTCTCTTTGGCTGCAGCAGATGCTGCAGGGGCACAGGAGCTCTAGAAGTACCTTTTGATGTGTTTGTAGGAGTCAAGCAAGAAGGGCCACATTTTACACCAAATGAGCAGGATATAATAGCTTTTGAATAAGAGAAAGACATAAAACCACATTGAATACTTGCAATGTACTTATGCATCAGACCCTCTCTTTTGGTTTCCTCTGTTGTTGTGTTGTTTCAGTTTTCTGCTCCTCTTTATTTTGGAGCTTAAGTCCTTTAATATAAGATCAAAGCACTTTAATAATTGGATAAGTATATATTTCACCTTCCTTATTCTCAAAATCACCTGAACCAGTTTCTTTCTTTCTTTCTTTCTTAGCCAAAGACCCCCACCTGGAAAAAAATTTTCCAGAAAAATGTAAGTTTCAGAAAATTTGTATGAACCAGTAACCAAAACCAGGAGTTAGAATCGATACATGCACACAAGCTTGACTGTAGCAATCAACTAATATTCCAGGCTAACAACTCTTCTAATAAGTTGCTCTCACATAAATTGCGCATGCTGGTTAGGGTGAGTGAAAGAGTGAATAGCTCAAAGAAATATACCACTCAGAAGAAGGGAACTTGCTGTATTCATATATCCCAGGCCTACACAAAGTCCTGAAGTGAATGTTATGCGCAAAGTTTTACTCCCCTGTTCAGGAAACTGTTTCAGAGTAACTCTATTACTTTTTCTCTGGTATTGTAGGGAAAGGAGTTAGAGGGTACTAGATGTCCCATTCATTTTGAAGCATAAATTTACGTCTTATTTTCTGCCCTACAACTGGCCCCCTATTAAGTACAGGAGCAGCAGGATCTCTTGCCTTTTTCTTGTAACTAACTCCTGCTCTGCTAGTGCCCTGGCTTCATTCAGTCCAAAAAAGAGAAGTCTGAAGAGTGCCAAATACTTTGAGCAATTTTCGTTTTTATATGATGGCATCAATAACCAAAGCAAAATGTGGTATAAATTAGGATTTCAAAATTAGGGCCAGATCCCCTAGCTGTTGAAAACTGGTAAGCCTGAATTGCAGCCTGAATTGTGTCTGGTCATGAGTGTTTTGCCACTCCTCAAGCAGCCCTTTCCTAATGTGAGCCTGACCCACTGTAGGGAATCGGGACCAAGGATTTGAAATTAGAGGACATGAAACCTGTGCAGCACTTTGTTTCTGGGAAGGAGTTGCTTAGGGTATTTTTAGAGGGTAGAAGAGGGGAAGGACATGCATAGGAAACTAGATCCTGCAGACTGTGGCCTTTGGGGATTCAGAGAAGCAGTGAGAAGGGCTGACAGCATCAATGCAGGATTAATGCGACAGAATTACTGCTCTGGACTTCCAAATTGCACATGCCCCTTCCTTTCCCCTACAGCATGATTTTATTTTTAATCCTGGACTCTCCATCTGTCCCTCTGGCTACTCTCTCTGGCTGCTTCAGGGCTGCTTCAAGGCCGCCGTGCCATGGCTTCCAGGCCTCACACGTCAAGTCTCGTAGTCTTTGCTGCATCCCATCAGGAGGATGAAGGCAGTCCTGGGTGACTGAATTCAACAGACTGGAGTGCTGACAGCAAGCACGGGGCACTCAATTTAGCATCCCCGGGGTAGCTGCTCGGTTTACTACCCCCTCAAGGCTAGCCCTGAAATGGTGGGAGTGTTAGGGAAGGACACTGAAGGCTGAAGAGATGGATTTATAGAAGGAGCCGGACAAGGAGAATGTGGCAGGAGCTGGGAAGGGTAGTTTGCTAGGAGATATGAGAGGAATGCAGCTGCACCTGTACAGATTGTCTGCTTGTCAGCTCAATATCCCGTGGGACAATTTCAAAGGCACTAAAGACATTTAGGAACCCAAGTCTCATTGAAAGTCATTGACTTGAAAAATCTCCCCCTGTGTGTTCAGTGCATGAAAAAGTGTATCTGACGTGCGGTCATGACATGACTGCTGTACCCTTGTGTTTGTGTAGAGAGCAGTTTGAAGGGAAACAGCTGGCTGTAAGACTAGCGAAACTTCGAGCAACAGACCTTAAATTACCATCCTATTCTGAAAGGTGCCTATGTAAAAATAGTACCTTCTTACTCAACAGATCCGTTCTCGGTGTGTAAACAGAGTCAGACCTACTGACCGGTGACAAAAATAAGACTTTATAGCTTTTTCACAGCCCTGAAAAGCCAATGCAGCTGGTAGGATAGGGAAATTGGATCCTAATCCAGTTATCAGCAGAAACATTTTTTAAGGGCCAATCACTTGTCTCTGTGAAGACTCTGACGAGCTGAGGATTGTATAGGAGCTGCCATTGACCGAAATTCAGCTTGCAGCACGTTTTGCAGTAGTGAGGGAAGCAAGGAACTAGCCTGGGATTGATTTCATAGCCCAGAGGGGGTTTACAGAGCTGGCAGTCAGAGAGAAAATATTGCAGACTGGTAAGATTTCATGTGATATGGTCAGTAAAGTAGCTTCCACCAAACAATTGTTGCTGGGGCCTTTTTCAGGGTGAAACTGCTTTTCAGTTCACCCTTACAAATCTCACTCTGCACATGTGTGCTGATCTGCACAGAGGTCTTTGCAGAAGGCAGAGATATACTTGTCATACCTAATAGTATTTACCCCATCCAAACAGCCACAAATCCATGTCTTTCATTCAGGACTGTGTTAAGAGTTAGACCTGAGCAATCCCAGGGAAATAATGTGTGAATTTTTTATAAATCCCTGTTTTGACAGACTGTGGCAGGCCGGAGAAAAACTGTTCCTTGTTCCTTCTCTTTAGATGTCCAACGGAATGCAGCTCAAATAGTGCTAGTTCAGTCCCAAATCCATAGAAGAGGGACAGAGCTTATATGACCCCTTTGTGTCTGGGCCACTAATATTCTCAGAATTTCTACATCTTCTCCAGCTTTACTTGATGAAGCTCTGTCCCTTTCTTATTTTCACATGCAGAAGCTCAAAGGAGTCAGGCGACCTTGTCTAGGGTGAGAAACGTCAACAGTTTAATAAGAGGAGCAGCAGAGACAATTTTGTTGCTTTTACCCAGGAATAGACTAGCTGGCAGAATTAATAAAGGGCTATCTAGCAGTCCACCTGCAGATCACTTCCTCAAATAAAGATCAAGTCTAAAATTGTTGTCATCTACAGACTGTACATTAGTGAACACAAAAGAGTTGAATGCCTTGGCTCAGGTCCCAGTTCCACATCACAGCCTCCACCATTGGACAGGTTATCAGCTGTCCCCTTGCTGGCATCTCAGCTGAGAAGGGTCAGGACCAAGTAGCTGTGATGCTTTGATTCCACTCTTACCCCTGGAGCTCAGGACAGAGCAGTCTGTGCTGTGGAGAATCAGAGCTCTTTGGTTTCCAGGGCTGCCAGCTTGGTGTGTTGTGGGAACACAGAACTGCAGAGAGGCTTTCCTGGGTAATTCCCATTCTCTGTTACTGTAGGTAGCCATGTTACCTAATCTTTTCCACTAACTGGCCAAAGCTCCATTTTATAGTTAGCCATGGTATCTTTGTCCCAGAAGGCCATTTCAAAACATTGCTTTCCAGCTAGAAAATAAACCAAACCAAAACAAACAACCCCCATTTGAAAATATTAAAGGAAATAATTTTACCTCTGTTTTATCTGGGGCCTGTTTTCTGGCTGATTTAATGGTTATATTTATCCTCTAACACCTGTTCATCTATTCATTCATTCGTATTCAGTTAAGCAAGGTATTTGAGCGTCTTCAGAAATGAATGTGTGATGATACTCAACTGAATATGTGCTGGCAGTGACCTACTGCTATGGATGAACAGTTTGGGTTATCTGTGGAGGGGATCTCCACTGCATTACAAGGTCCATTACCGTAGAGCATATCTTAGGAGATGAAGGGTCAAGCCCACTCCTGACAAACCTGTATGGGAGCTGAGGATTTGTTTAGTTTTATATTGCACATTTTTCATAGGAGGGTGAGGGGTACCAGGAGGCCTGAGGGGCAATGGAATAATGTTAACATTCCTCTTGTTCTTGCAGGCTCGGGGATCTGGAGGCGGCAGGAGACGGAATGATGCTGCCTCCCAGGATGATCATGACAAACCCTATGTTTGTGACAGTAAGTAGCACCCAGACAGCTGATTCTGCTTCCAGCCTGGTCCTACCAGCTCGGTGCACTCAGGGCTTCATCTTTTCCCTTCCAGCAAAATATTCTGCTGCTCTCTGACTTGCATGTTTGCCACCTGCTGCTGCTGCTGTTCTTGGTGTTTTTGCATGAAGGAAGTAAAATTAAGTCCTCGGCAAGACTCCACTTCCCTTTGCCCTATAATAAATCATCTCTTATATTTTCTTTCTCTTTCTCCTCTTTTTCTGGCTTCTCTGCCTTTTGTCTTCCTTTCCCCCATGTAAGTTTCACCCTCTATTTCTTTCTCTGTTTCAGATAGTTACAAACAAAAGCATAACTCAAAAATCTCCGACAAAGGTACTTTACCCTTGTTGTATCTCTTCATATATTTGGTGATTCTCTTTCCTTCAGTCCTTTTAAAATCTCACTGGGCTAGATTTTGAAGGTCTTATTCACATCCCTCGCTCAGAAGTTACTCTTGTGGCGTCATCAGGAGCTGAGCCCTCCTAAGAGACAAACACACAACTGGAATGCTTTGTTTTGATGCATATTCCCTTTGAATATGGCTACACTGTTTGACATCTTGCAGTGGGACTGCAGGTGAAGTAAGACATTGCCCCAGTGCAAAAACTGAAGAAGGATACCAGAGTCTAGTATGAAGAAGGAGTCCAATATTTGACATACAATGTATTTTTTTTATGGTCTAGTCCACGGTGCTTTTCTTCTTCTTTTGATAATCTTTTTTTTTGCTTCACTATGTCATTTCTGGGAAGGGCACTTATCTTACCCACATGCTTTTGCAGTCTATGATCTTAAGGCTTACTGTAGAGTGTACATGCAATAATAATTTGTGCTACTGGATGCCTTCTATTCTATAAAACAATAACCAAACAGAACTTAATAGAAGTAGGAGAATAGCAGGAGGTCTTCACTTCTGTGATCCAAAAATGTTTGCTGTTTTTAAGGACAATTAGAATCCTCATTTTTCCACTATTTACCTATCTTGCAATGTTACTGAGCTTAGAAGACCAACCATTACTGTGTCAATCTATGCGGCTATTTCCTGCTTATTTTTTAAAATGCGAAGAAATAAAAGAATGCACAGTAAATAGGAACTGTATTCCACGTGATCAACTCATATTCTTTTATGGTGAGACCAGGTGATCCTCCACAGTACAGTGATGGACATATTGAGTATTTTGCTTCAGCAAGATGAATATTCTAGGGGCAATGAGTAGAAATGGAAAGACTTGCATATGAATGGGAGTGTCTGAATACATGATCAAGGAGGAAGAGCTCTTTAGGATATGAAGAGTCAGGAGATTTCTACGGTGGTTAAATAGCTGTCCTTATGTGTTGGAAGAACTAAAATGTGTCTTCTAAGACTTCTCTGGGAGCCCAGTAGGTATCTTGCTGAAATCCACAGCCGCCTTCTGCTGGTATGTGCATAACTGTCTTTGTCTCTTTTCTGGAACATCCTTCTAAATCCAAGGACACTTGTCAGTTGTAGTCATTTTGAACATAATGACTCTTTATTGTCTGATCTTGCTTTGCTTTTGGATCATACAGAGAACTCACAACATGCATAGTAGTGATTTACACAGAGTAGATAAAACTTGCAAGATATCAAAGCAGGCAGCAGAAGCCTGGGCTGAAGTCAAGGCTCTGGTTCATTGTTGTACTGATGGAATTTTGCCTTGGCTTACATTTTGGAGCATAAATTTCCTCTTTGGTTTTGGAAATATAAACTTTCCTATTTCATTTGGCTGATATCTTTCCGTTTAAAAAAACTTATAGTTAGAGGGTGAGTCATAAGGAGTTTTGGAATCCAGACTTTACACAGTGACTCCTCCTGTTCCATTGTAGATAACTGAGAAGAGGGTTATGTGGTAGCAGAATACTTTTACCTGACTTGGACCAGAAGGAAAGAACTGTCCCATCTATAATGCCATCCTCCTGAAGTAATATACTGCCCTTGTTAACTTTCTGTAGAAATATCACATGCAATTCATTGTGAATAATTGGCTTAAGTTGAAGCCTCTTTCTTGGTTAGGTGATTCCAATAAAGGATTTCTTGAATCAATTTTTTCTTTGAAATTACTTGCTGAATATTTTTACAGATAAATCTTAATCTAACTGTGTAGGTTATAAATCGGTTTGCAGCAGTCCATGTGCAGATGTTTTGGGCAGAGAGTTTTGTTTTACATGGAAACATGCAGGTCAAAAATAGCAGATCTGTTTCTTGTTTGGGAAAACATGATTCCTACAGTAACATTATTGGTATAATTACCTTGATGGGTTGACGCTTTACTTTATCTGTATATTATTTAATTTACCTCCAGGATTATTCTTCTACAAGTGTGATATTTGAGTTTAGAAAGTGACCACAAAGAAGAAAACATAAGCATATCTAAACCAAATTAATTTTGCTATTTAACTGCCTGGGCACAAAAAATGATCTGTGGTGAAGAACTACTCTGCTCTTTTTTCATAGTTATACATTCATATTTATGGGAAACATGAGCATATCACTAAGTTTCATCAGGGAAAAAACTAGTTGTGTGTGTCAGTACGATGATGCGAGAGCGGTTGCCAGCTGACACTGCCCCTGGTGTTGGAAGACAGCAATGTTATTTCTGGAAAAGCATGCTTTTTCTGGAAGAGGCATTCAGTTATGCATTGATATTAAACATGGCCCCAATATTGAAATTGACTGGAAATAAAAAATTTCTATATAGAGGAAGGTTTTCAAAGCTCAAAATGTTTTTTCATCCTGTGTTTTTAAGTAAAGGTAGTTAGTTGCTTGTTTTGTGGAATGAAATATTCTGAAATACTTTGGCTGACTTCATTGAGTATGTACTGTATCGGAAATTCAGAATAAAATGTTTGGCTATTCAAACCATCGGTAAAATTGCTAACATAATCATGAAATGCCTTGTTTCATCAAATCAGCAAGTGGAAGACTAGTTGGTCAGATTTCCAACCAGTTGCATTGGATATTGTTGTGCCCTGAGCTCCCCTTGGGATAAACACTTGGATAATGCAAGTGGCAGGGCAGCCTGGTGGGAGATGGGTATAGGCTGGAAATGGTGATGTAGCAGAGTGGGTGATGTAGCAGAGTGACCAGACCCAAACATAGCTTGAATAGCTGGCTAGGAGATAGAGCAGGTGCCTTAAAGGATAGTGAAAAGTAGGGTCTGAGGAGCAAAGCAACACCTATAATGTCAAGCCATAGAAGTGGAAGACACTTCACCACAGCTGTTCATGATAAACCGCTTTTTAAAGGATGGACAGAGAGAATGAATGTGTTAATACCTGCATATGTAATAAGAATTGATGTTATGTCATTGCCAAATGATCATCTGGAGAATGGTCAGTTCTACCACAGCAATCTTCTTAAAAATTGTTCTCCTGTTTTCATATTGTTTATTATATATTATTTACCTTTTGGTTTTTTTTTTTTTTTAAAAAAGAAGTTCCTCTGAAGTTTTATCTAGAAACTTGTATTCTGGTTTAAAAATGGAAATCAGTTGTAGCACCTGAGCTTCATGACTCCAGATGTCTACTTCCTTCAGAGCAGTTGGTTTTGCTGAATCTCTACAAGTTATTAACTTTCCTGCTGTCCATCCTCATTTGTCTGCTTTTGTTCTGCTCATTTTCCCATGGAGACTTACTATGTACATACTTCCACCTTTGTTTTCTGTCCCTCTATGGAAGATTTCCCTTGGCCATCTCTAAAAGAAGTTGTTTCTTTCTTTTCCTTTTACCAATATATCCTTGCCTCCTTTTAGTTTTATTCCTGTATAAACTGCTATTTTAGCATAACAACTTATGTTTGTATCGTATCCTTTATTGACAGTCCCTGTGAGGCTGAGATATGCATTCAGATCCATTCCTTGTGGAAAATGAGAACTGACTGAAACCTTCCTATGATCTCTGCTGGATCAGTGACTAATGCAACCTTGCCTGCACCCAGAGACACTGATCCTATAGCATTTTGTAGAAGCTGATTCTTTTGTCAAAAACTTAGTTTTCAGGTTTCTGTAGTTATTTAACCTGAATCTTCTCTGCTGCAGTCTAAGACCAACAGCTCTTGGTCTGTTCTTAGTGGAGAAAAATGTTTTCTTTCTGTGTCTGTAAACAGTTACTGGGGCTTCTTTCAGCAGTGTTTTCCTCGGCTCTTTAACTAAACGTGTTTCTTTTCTCTGAAAAATCTCTTATTTAAGTAGTAGTGGCCAGAACTAAGTAGAATGTGCCATTCTGAGGACAGAAACAGTTCAGAAGATGAATGGTCGATACATTTACATGTAACTTACATTTACTTATAGATCTTGGATTTATGCAACTTACTCTGTTATGTATCCATGAGAGGTACAGAGATGGCTGACCTAATGGGTTTTTTAGTAAACCCCTTTTCAATGCAAGGTGCTCCTCTCAATTCTGTGTGGCACTCAGTGGCAAAGGACTTTTTATCCTTGTCCACCATGTGAATTCATATTTAATATACCGTTTGCTATAGCTTCTTGTTCCTTCCCTTTTCAACTTGTTTCTACTCAAGTGGATTATCTATCATCCTCATTTCCCTCAGTGTACTGCTTTGTCCTCTTTATACTGTATTTTATTTATTTATACTAGATGTCATATAATTACATTACTGTTTGAAATAATTCTTTAATGAAGCTCATATGCTATATTTTTATTATTATTCCATTATTTCTGTTAACAATCATTCGCTGCATGACTGATTCTTTCATTTTCTAGTCCACCCTTCAAATTAATGATTAAAACAGAGGCAAGCATTGGGCCCGAAATGGATTCTTTCAGGTGCTTGGCAATGCAGAAAGGTGCCTTGTGAAGTTTTTTTAAAAAAATAGGCTCCTAATTTTTCCTGATGTCAACTGGAAGTAGGCTCCAGTTTTTTTCCTGAATATCCCACTAACTGCCTATCTGCTTGTGTTGTGTCTACAGATAATATAAGGCTTGGTCTCTAAGTGGACACTTTGAACTTGACTTTGAACTGCTACTAATTATTCAGAACATGGTTTTGTTTTTAAAAATGCTTGACCCTACATCCAAATCACTATCACTTGAAACATCCTCCTGCTTTTTCTGTATATTCATCACCCAGCGGGGTATTGAAATTTCATTATTTTGACATTAATTTTTTTTCTTCCCTATTCCCTTTCTCCACTAAATGTATTGTAGGTTCTGCCAACAAGAGGCCGGAGGCTTCAGGTGGTTTAAGTGGTTTAAATTAACAGATTCCACTGACTTTCAATGGGTACTAAGGATCCCTTTCTTTTAGTTTCCTTAGAAAGTCCCAGTTAAATGTTGTACTGTTCTAGCCTGACTTGCCA